CCTCCTCCTCCTCCTCCTCCTCCTCCTCCTCCTCGCGCGCATTCGTTATACATCTGCAAGAACTTCACGGATTGAGGGTAGCTCTTTTTCAATATGTGGCTCCCGCCTTAGCGTCGCGCGCATCCGTTAATCAGCTTTGCGAGAGTTGCACTTCGATCGCGGAGCTGAAATCATAAGAAGTGCATTCTGGCACGATTCAGGATCGTCAAAACGCCACCAGGTTGATCCGTGGCGTCGGAATCCCGAGAACAATGTTTTGGCGTGCTTCAGGGTCTTTCAACAGTTGTCTTCCAACGACAGTTGTCTTCCAGCGACAGTTGTCTTCCACCGAGGAAGTTCCCGATGTGGAAATGAACCGATGCATGGGCCTGTGAAGAGGGAGCTTGGAAGGAGGGCTTATTCCGACATCGTGGATGGCTCTCGGGTCTACACTGGTCCTCCTCCTCCTCCTCCTCCTCCTCCTTCTCCTCCTCCTCCTCCGCGGCGGCGCCGCGGTCCGGATCCACGATGGCGAGCCGCTCGTGAGCGATGATCGTGCGGTCCTGCGGCGAGGGGGGGGGGGGAGCCCCGAGCGCGCGGCGGCGGCGGGCCCGCGCCGGTGGGGCCCCCGGAGAGGCCACGCGCGGCCCGGGGAGGCCGAGGCGCAGCAAGAGAGCGAAGGGGGGGGGGGAGCAGCAACGGAGTACGGCAGGCTCGTGCCGCGCCAACCTCTGCGCTGTGCTGCTCCCATCGTACCCAAGGATCGGGGAGACGTAAGACCCGGGTACGGGGGACTCGGAAATCCCCGACGAGGTCGTCAAAAAAATGACGAGGCCGAGCCTGCATTTTGACGAGGCCTCCCGCTGCAGACATCCCACAAAACTCCTCCTCATCAAAATCCGAGTCGCGGTCGTCAAAAAACGATGGCGAACCCGAGTCCTGGCAAACCCGGGTCTTACGCTCCCCCGAAAGGACCACATCCAGGAAATAATTTCGGGCACCCAGAAAAGTGTCGACACCAAGGTCGAACGGGTGTCGCCTCCCAGGGCCCGACACGCAAGAACCGTCCAGTTTCGGTATTGTTTGTGCTCGAAATTCTTGGCGGTGGGCAAGGCTAAAATTCGCCGATCTGGCGTGTGAGTTTAACGGGGTGGGGGTGACTGGGGTGGCTTTGCCGGGGAGGGGGAGGGGGGGAGGGGGGGGGTCCGGTGGCGTGGGTTCTGGTGGCGCGTGCACGGCGGGGGACGGGGGTGGGTCCGGTGGCGTGGGTTCTGGTGGCGTGGGGGAATGAGGGGGGGTCCAGTGGCGTGGGCTTGCTTTGAAAACCATTGGATTTCCTCAGAAACCGCCTCAGAACGCTCGATTTGCCGCGGGAGGGGGAGGGAGAGGGTTCCGGTGGCGTTGGCGTGGGTTCTGGTGGCGTGGGAAGGGGGGGTGGGTCTGGTGGCGTGGGTTCTGGTGGCGTGGGGGGGGGGGTCCGGTGGTGTGTGCTTGCTTTCAAAACCATTGGATTCCCCATAGAAATCGCCTCAGAACGCTAGGTTTGCCTACGAGGGGGGTCCGCGGTTTCCGGGGGTGTTTGTTACAGAAGGACCCTCGGCAGATGCGCTCAAGGGGTGGCGCGCGGGCTTTGCAGCTTTTACAGAAGGACCCTCTGCAGATGCGCTCCAGGGGTGGCGCGCGGGTTTTGCAGCTTTTACAGAAGGACCCTCTGCAGATGCGCTCAAGGGGTTGCGGATTTGGTGCTCTTACAGAAGGACCCTCTGTAGATTCGCCCAAGGGGTGGCGGCTGTGATGCTTTTACAGGAGGACCCTCTGTAGGTGAGTTCAACGGGTCGCGCGTGGAATTTGCAGCTTTTACGTGAAGACCCTCTGTACATGCGTTTCAGGGGTGCTTGCTTTCCTGCTTTTATAGAAACGATAATGGTAATGCTGTGGAAAGTGGTCGTGGTGGCGCGCGCGCGCGCGAGTGCGGAATGGCGCGGCTAGGACCTGGCAAAATGCAGCAACTAAATAATGTGCGCGTGTGGCGTGTGGTGTGTGTGTGTATGTGTTTGTGTGTGTGTGTTTGTGTTGTGTGTGTGTTGTGTGTGATGTGTGATGTGTGTGTTGTGTGTTGTGTGTTGTGTGTTGTGTGTTGTGTGTTGTGTGTTGTGTGTTGTGTGTTGTGTGTTGTGTGTTGTGTGTGTGTGTGTTTGAGCGTGCGCCCGTAATGTCTGCGCCTGGGGCGTAACCCCGAGCGACCCGGATCGGCGGCACTGGCCGAAGGCCACTTGAATAGGTTGGAACATCGTAACCCTGGCGTTGGTTTCTGACACCGCGCCACCGAAGCTTGAACGGCCAACGGCCGATCGTTCAACCGTGAACGATCGGCCGTTTCCGAAACGTTCGAGCGTTCAACATCGGCCGATTCTGAGTCGACGGTGGCGTTCAACGCTGCATGCTGTCGGCAGGTTCGCCGCCGGTCGACACGACGCGAACCTACCGTAGGCCATAAGCTGGTCCAGATTCATGTCGATTACGCTGTTCCTTGTGGTGTCGAGGGTTATCTTTCTTGTATTGGTCCTCCCTTGCAATGTGCCCGTCGACACCTGTGATGCCCACGTGGGGTCGGGGGGCCAGGATGAAGGGACGGGGACGGCATGACGAGGGAGGGCAGGAGCGGGAGGGAGAGGAGGGAGGGCCGGCAGGGTGAGGGCAAGTCCTCCTCCTCCTCCTCCTCATCCTCATTCTCCCTTCTCCTCTTCCCTCCTCCTCCTCCCTCCTCCTCCTCATCCTCCTCCTCCTCCTCCACCTCGTCCTCGTCCTCCTCCTCGTCCTCCTCCTCCTCCTCGCCCTCCTCATCGCCCTGCCCCTCCTCCTCCTCGTCTCTCCTAGACGCCGCCCCCGAGAACCCATGGGAGTGCTGCCGCCATCGCCCCCCACCATACATCGGACAGGGAACATCCGAACAAAAAAACACCCCCAAACAACCAAGACAACAACCCACCACTAACCCCCACACAGAAAACAAAATCTAAGCCACGAAAACATATGCACGGACACCCTCCGACGAACTTCGCACGCACCTTCAGGGAGGCACGGTGTGCAAAGTCGCGGGCTCTCAATGGTGAATGATTCACCGCCACCCTCCCCTGAGGCCATGGAGCAATCCAATGGAGGGTGCCTGTGTCGGGAGGAGGGGGGAGGGGGGAGTAGAGGAGGAGGAGGAGGAGGAGGAGGAGGAGGAGGAGGAGGAGGAGGAGGAGGAGGAGGAGGAGGGAGGAGGGAGGAGGGATGAGGGAGGAGGGAGGAGGGAGGAGGGAGGAGGGAGGAGGGAGGAGGAGGAGGAGGAGGAGGAAATCCGAGTCGGATCGTAGCGCCCGCCGGATCGGGCTGCAGCGGAACGGGTTGGCAACCGCAGCGGGTCGACGCCAGGAAGCACGACGGCGTCGTGCAGCCAACAGGCCGCATCGGGTCGGCGGGATTTGGGAACCCCCATATCGGGTGGTGAGATACCAGGTGGCGACCTGGAATCCCCAAAAAGGTCACCGCTGGGTTTGGGGACGCGGGGTCACCACCGGGTTTTGTGACTCCTGGACTCACCCATGTCCGGGACGTCCTCGGAAAACCGCACGAGTCCCCAAACCGGGTGGTGACACCAGATCGCCCGAGACTCACCGCCAGGTGTTGTCACCACCACGTCTGGGGACTACCAAGGGATGTCAGGTCGGGCCAGCTGGGACCGATGCCGAACCGGAGACAACGCCGGACCGACATGGACCTTCTGGCGGAGGCTCCTGGCTCGATGCGGCAGGAGCTTCGGGGGGAGCGCAGAAGATAGGGAGCCCACAAAGGACGTACGCGCCCAGCTATGTACATGAACACGGCCCCTTGACCCGCGAGACCGGCCGCGTGATACGAGTATTCGCCGAATGCGAAATCTCGAAGACAGCGTGGATTCATGTACGTGTACGTCCTTCTTTCGCTCCCGAAGAAGAGTGAGAGCCTGCATGAACACAAATGTCCGACAGTCTGCACGGATCTCTTGGATCGGCGCTGGACCCCCCTCCCTGGCGCGCGCCGCCAGTGGGGCCCAGCGCGGATTCAAACAATCTGCGCAGACCTCCGCAACTTGATGCTTGTGCAGAGTTCCATCCGAGAGCGGTCGCGAAGCAACCGCACTATGGCTAGACCTAGAATCAGGTCATGATGCGATTGGCTCAGAACACGTCCCATGGATTCCAGAGTATCCAGCGGCCCTCGTTTCTGCAGCGCGTGCGTCGGAGCAGGGCGAATCGAGACAACGGCAGCTTTAAAATCTGTCCCCGGATCCCTCCGGGGGTCCAAACGCACCAATTTGTCGAGGCGTCCAGCCGTGGCGACAAGGGTGCCCCCTAAGGCCAACTACCGTTGTCTCAATTCGCCCTCCTCTGAGTATGGAACACGAACTACGATATCTCAGAAATCCTGAAAGCCTTGGAACTCTTGGAACTCATCAGTGTTAGGGGCCTCCAGGATGGGGTCGGATGCGAGGGGATCGGAAGTATTACGCCGCATCGCCGATGCATCACCGATGCACCGGAGCAGTCGGCGATGCATTCGCGCCGTCGGCGTGGAGAAGATCTGGCTCCACACGAAGCCGCTTGGTGAATGCGTCGGCGATGCGGCGCAATCCTCCGACCCCAGCTACTCTGACCCTGCCTGGCAGGCATAGAATGTCGGGGGCGCGCAAACATGGATTAGCGATCCATGGATTTGGCGCGCGGTCGCCAAATCCATGAATCGGGGGAGGTGCCCTCCCCAAAATGCAGCCAGTGCCGCCCCGTTCGGCGGCGGAAATCCGCCATTTCCAGTGGAAACAGGACCCGTCGCTAATCCACGCCCCCTTGATCCATGTTTGCGATTGCCTGAGAATGATCATAACCCACTGCTCCTCGGATCTCCCCCCTGCCTGCCCTGCAGCAGCGCCCTGCCCCTGGGGAGCCTTGCAGAACACGCCGCTCCAGTCGGGCCCCCGGTGCCGCAGCAGCTTGGCGGTGTCCACCACCTCCTCGCGGCGGAGGAGGAGGCGTAGGAGAAGGCGGAGGCGGAGGCGGAAGCGGCGGCGGAGGACGAGGAGGCGGAGGGGGAGGAGGAGGAGGAGGAATAGGAGGAGGGGGGGAAGGAGGCGGAGGCGGAGGTGGAGTCGGAGGCGGAGCCCCCTCCCGCCTGTGAGCGCGAGGTCGAGCGGGAGATCCTTGAGACCTGGGCGTCGCCTTTTTTTCACAACGGGCGTTCTCGCCTGGTTTCGGGCACCGGGGCCATCACAGCTCGATCCGCCTCGGAAAAGTGACTCAGAAAGGTGGGGTCTACCCAGACATCTGGCGCTCCAACTCTGGGATGCGTGGATCCCTGGACGTCTGGACCACTTCCCTAGGGCATTTCTGTTCGCCACTAAATTTGCAAGACGGAAGATCTCGGGGATGTCCCCCTTCTCGGGTGTCGTTAGAAGTACCCCTGGCCCGAGGTGCCCGAAGGATTTCCACCCGCGGCATCCAGAGCACCCCTCACGAGGCCCAGAGGGCCCCAGGGGCTCCAAAATGGAGCGAAAAGCTGGGTGCATCTTGGGCCAGGGGCACCTGTAGCAACTCCCGATCTTCCTCCTCTCCCGCCCTGAATCCCCTGAAGCGCCACGGGCTCGCGGTGCCTCACGTGTCTTCGAGCAGCTGCCCAATGAGGGCTTCTGGAGAAGGCCCCCGCGTGGCGTTTGGTCCCTTGTGATCGCCTCGGCGTTATCCCCGCTCCGACTTCGGTTTTGCTTCGCGATCGTTCCAGTCGTCCCGACTGCTGTCGCACGGATTTGGGACCAGTGGTCTTGCACCGCTGGGCTGCGGCAGTCTGTCTCCATTGCGGGCCCCGCTGCCACTGGAGCGCTGGACTTGAACCCCATCCCACACCCCCTTCCGACTCCTGCCCAACATGCGCTCACCCCTGGTCTCCGTGACTACTCGGACCAACTGCCAGCGCCAGTCGAGGCCATTCGTGACAAACATCCGGCGAGGCCGAAGGGGCGCCGTATGATTGAACGACTCCCACGACAAAGGCAAACCCAGATGGGCTGAACCCCACGCGACGAACCCCTCTGATCTTTTTGAACGGTTGTCCACCCTTCTTTTCTGGCCGGGGGTGACCCAGGAACAACCCAACGGGCCTCCCTGGCCAGAAGACGTACAGCCTGGGATGTGGAGTGTTCCCTGAGACCACGCGTCTCGAAAAATGGCAACATCTACGAAATCCTTACGAAAGCGCCAGACCCCCACAGCCTGCGCCATGTTTCGAGGCGGATCGATCTGTGAGGGTCCCCGGATCCGAGGCCTCGAGCAAAACTGCGACGCCAAGATCTCAATGTTTGTTTGTTTTGTGCCCGTGTAGGCTCTGCTAGGTCGGCGGGTGGGCCTCCAGGACCTGCGACGTCCTGAATCAGCCCGGGGCGTGCGGCTCTGGAGAAGCACACGCCACCGAGCCTGCGCCACGCTGGGGCGCGTCAGAAGGGCCCCGGGCGAGCTCGCTCTTGAAAGTGCAACGAGGAAGGCGCATTCAAAAATACGTGCCGATGCGATGCGCATTCCGCATTGCGGGTGATACAACTACCGCGCTCCATCGGGGGCGCGATCCCTGTGAGGGGTGTGCTCGATCTCGAGGTGCAAACGATGGCATCACCATGAGCTTTCGGAGCTTCGCGTTGATCTCTTGGATCGGCGCTGTGCTCCCCTCCCTGGCGCGCGGAACGCGCCAGGGGCGGAGCCGGAGGCGCCGCCAGGGGCTCCAGCTCGGACCCAAGAAATCCGAGAGGAGCTTCGAAATCTCACGCTTGTGCCAGAACTTGGGGAACCAAGAGGTACCTCTCCCGGGGTACTTGCTGACCAGTGTTTCGAACGAAACCTAGCGGCGGCGACGAGGGCCTCCCAGGGGAAACCGGGGGAAGGACAACTGGCGGTATGCGTACAGTGCGGGCGCGGTCCCCCTCGCAAGAAACCCAACCCCGAGGGGGAACCCTGAGGGGGAACCCTCCGCACACTGAACGCAGCAGCTTCTTCAACGGCTTCGGGAAGCCACCGCGCAGCGCGCGGAGCGAAGACACCCAGGGCACGCCGATGAGAAAAAACATATGGTTTCTGGATGCGGGCCCCAGCCGCGGCCCCCGCCCAGGCCCCAACAGAGCCCACGAGGCTCCCGAGAGAGCCCCAACAAAGGCTTCAGAGCGTCCGCGTCGTCGGCGTCGTCGCCGCCGCCGCCGCCGCCGCCGTCGTAACCGTCCCCCATTCAGGGTCGACGGCACCCGCCGCCAGGCCTCCCCACTAGATGGTTTCTTGGTGCGCGCCCCCACTGTATGGGTACTCCAGATTTCGTAATAAAGGGAGGGGGGTCTCATTTCGGGGGGGGGGTCTCTTCCAGGCTATCTTGGAGGGCCTGGAGGGTCTGGGGACGATGTTTTGGAGGGTTCTCCCACGGGGGGGGGTCTGAAATGGCTTGTCTTGGAGGGCCCAGACCCCCTCCCTTTTATCATGAAATCTGGAATACCTTTCCCTCCTCCGAAGAGCTCGCTGCTCCAGGATTGGCCATAGGGAGCACCGGCCTCGGGCCTCGGGCCCGAGGCCATGGGGCCACGAGCTGCTGGGAGGAAACAAAAACCCGTGGCCCCCAAAATACCCAGGAGCCGCAGCGAAAAGCGCGAGACGTCTTCGACGACGACGTCGACCTCGTCGCCGAAGTCGCGTCGGGCCCCCGCGAGCGGCGCCACCGCCGGGCGCCGGGGCGAACGACTCCTCGCCGCGAGGCGGCGGCGGCGGGTCCCATCGGAAACGGGTCCTGGACCCTGGGGCCTTCCCCTGTGACGGGCTCTTCATCATGAGTCGATTTGGACGGCCCCAGGGCCCGTGGAGAGCCCCAGGAGCCCGAAGACGGCGAAAACCCCCAGGATCGGTTTCCCCGAGGACCCCCCGAGGGCATCCGAGAGGGCTACTTGTTCACAATGCGATGTCCCAAAGCCTGGAGGTCTGGACCCCTCCACAGGGACGCGTTTTTGTTCCCGAGTAGTTTTTTGATTGTCCTGGGGCTTGGCAGGGGCCCCCAAAGACCGACGATTGCCCAAGTTCTTCCGTCGTGATCTGTTCACGACGAGAGGAGGTTTGGCTTTCGGGTCAGAGCTCGTGAATCCGGCGTCCGTCCGGGACGACTCGAGCACCCCCAGAACGGTCTTGCCGAGGCTACAACCGAAACCTCCCATCGCTGCCGTCAACCCGAGTAAAATCAGGACGCACGATCAGAATGCAAGGGCCTTGGCACGCCATGTCGGCACTCGGCGAGCGGGGCCCGGTCAGCGAAAGCGGCCCAGGATGGGCCGAGGGGCAAGGAAGCAGCAGGGGTAACCTTGGAAAGTCGCTCATTCTTACTACGCGGGTTGACTGTAGTTTTTGCTCGACACGGGAATGTCTGGACCCGTCTGCTTCACGGCAAGGCCGTCGCCGCGACGGACGGTCGGCGCCAGCGCGCGCTGCGCCGTCGCTGGGGCTCCTGCCGGACCTCATCGGCCGCCTGGGGCGCGGAGGGGGGGGGGGCAGATGCGGCAGAGGGGCGTGTGTGTGTGTGTGTGTGGCAGGCGAGCAAGCGAGCGAGCCACCAATGCGGAGCATCCTGCCCGTCCTCCGGGCCTGTCTCCGTCTCGGCAGGCGGGCGGGCGGGTGTGTGTGTGAGGAGGAAAGGAGGGGGATCCTGACCTTCTCCTGCTCCTGCTCCTGAAAGTTCTCGTCTGATGAGCCTCCCACCCCAATGTTCCTCTCTCTCCCCTTGACCATCCCTCTATGGGCGGTGAACCTCCTCCTCACCCTCTCCTCTCTCCTCCTCCTCCCGCCTCTCTTCTGTCTCCTCTCTCCTCTCTCCTCTCTCCTCTCTCCTCCCACCTCCCTCCCCCGTTCTCCCCTCCACCCTCCTCCCTCCTCCCTCCTTCCTCCTCCCGGCTAGTCCTCTCTCCTCCTCCCTCCTCCCTCTTGCCTCCTCCTCTCTCCTCCCTCTTCCTTCTCCCTCCTCCCTCCTCCCTCCTCCCTCTTCCCTCCTCCCTCCTTCCTCCTCCCTCCTCCCTCCTCCCTCCTCCTTCCTCCCTCCTCCTCCTCCCTCCTCCTCGACCTCCTCCTCCTCCTCCTCCTCCTCGACCTCCTCGGCCCCTCGTCCTCCTCGTCTTGTCCTACTCCTGATCCTCCTGTCTCCTCCTTCTCCCCCTGCTCGTCCTCCTCCTCCTCCTCCCTTCCTCTTCCTCCTCCTCCTTTCTCTTCCTCCACCTCCTCCTCCTCCTCCTCCTCCTCCTCCTCATCTCTCCTCTCTCCTCCTCTCATCCTCTCTCCTCCTCTCTCCTCCTCCTCTCTCTCCTCCTCCTCTCTCCTCCTCTCCTCTCTCCTCCTCTTCCTCCTCTCTCTCTCTCTCTCCTCCTCTCTCTACTCTCCTCTCTCATCTCTCCCCTCCTCTCTCTCTCCTCTCTCCTCCTCCTCCTCCTCCTCCTCCTCCTCTCTCTCTCAACTCCTCCTCCTCTCTCCTCCTCTCTCCTCCTCTCTCCTCCTCTCTCCTCCTCCCTCCTCCTCTCTCCTCCTCTCTCCTCCACTATCCTCCCACCTCCGCTTTACGGCGCCCATGCGCACCCACCGTGCCTGGCGGCCAGGGGCCGATCTTCCACCTCCCGCTTCGTGAAAAAACCAAACATCGCTTGCGACTGTCAATGTCCGAGGGCCCTTGTCGGGCCCCGGTCTTCGTTTTAAGGAATATAAACTACGAAACCCGTTTCAGAGGCCATGATGTGAAAGCAAGCCAGACTCAACCAAAGAATCAACCAACTTTTGCTGGATCAAGCTGGACTAAACGGAACTGGCTTTGACTAGGTTGCACGGATATGCCAGCGCCGATGCTGATTGAATCTCCAAAATGCTGCCTCCTGACAGGATCAGTTACGAGCCAATATCTAACCGTATGACTCGTGAGTAGTTCAGACTGTGAGCTGAAGGGGGGACATGAGAGGGGGCAGACCTCAGAAAGCGGCCGGGCTTCTCAGAAACTCCCCGGCCTTCTCATAAACCGTCCCTGTCTTCGGAAAAGGCGGTAAAAACTTCGCAAAGGCTCCCCTCTGCCTCGCACCCACACAATAGTGAGCATCGTTTTACCGATCCCTATCCCTACAGGGGTGGCCTGGGAACCGCTGGCCGATTTACCTCCCTTGATGGGGATATGGGCTGTTCCCTTCGAGCTTCGAGGCGCACATCCCCAGCTGGGGTGGCGGGATGGTGGGGATGGGGGATGGGGTGTGTTTTGTATAGTGCAGTTGGCCTTCCGATCCGAGACGCCCCGAGACCGAACGACTGCTACTGCTGCTGTTTCGGTCCGAGGGCGCCCTTGAGTCCCGGTAAGGCTACCGGGCGCGGCCGACCGGCCACACACTCACCAAGTGAGTGACTGTTTCAGCCCACCAGGGGCTAGCGAGATATCTTACAGATTGTTGTGTCGCTGGCGCGAGCTGTGGAGGAAAAGATTATCAAGATAATCATCTACGAGAAGATCGACAGCAGGCTGACGCCAGTGCCGACGATTTAGTTGGTAGCGGAGCCGGTCGTGGCTCCACGGACCGGCTCGTCATGACGACCGAGGCTGAAAAGCACGAGACCGTGCCTTCGTGGGACGGAGACGTGACCAGCTTCGACTCCTACGTGATGCGGGTGAAGCTGTATGTGCGCGGTACCAAGAAGGACGAGAAGGGCCTCTGCGGGCCCAGATTGATGGCGAAGCTCCAGGGACGTGCGTGGCAGGGAGTACAAAAGTACGACAAGTTGGACAGCCTGGACGACCTGGAGGAAGATGCGACGACCAAGT